ATTTTCCAACTCAAGATTTTGTGCAAAAGATGAAATGATCTGCCACCGCACTTTACAACATCATGGATAATTTAGTGTTCTGTAGGAAAACGTGCTTAGTTTCTATGCTGATTTGATTTCTGTTAAATTTAGGAAAATGAAATGGAGTGCTGAGCCGTCATTAATGAGCGTTCTCACCTTGGTCAAAACCAGGTATTAAAGCCATAGAAGCCGCAGAAGCTGTGAACTGCATGGTCAAGGAAAAGTGCCTGTCTACGACATTGCAAATCTCCATCAAAAGGGACGCCCCACTGAGTTCGATGAGGAGCGAATGAATGCGAAGCCATGTATCATGTTTTCAAGTTTCCATCGAGTGAAGGTGACGCTCACTGATAATGAAAGAACATTTCCTGATCTCTACCAGTTCCCTCGTCGCTTGATAGGGAGCTGCATAAATAATCTGATTTAAATGCTTGTCGCCGAACGCACAGGGTGTCCAGTGAAGATCACGATTTCTAAAACGCAACAGGCGGTCGTATTTAGCCTTTAGAGGACTTCTTGATTGTTGATTTTCCGTTTCAGGGGCCTCTACATCTCCACCCTTTAACTGGCGAGCACAACAACACTACTACTTCCGATAGTTGATCGGACTTTTCTACCCCCTCTCCCCCTTCTCCACTGACAAAAGTTTAGGAACAGTTGAAAAGTGGGTGTGCGGATTGTGAAAGGTGGCCGACCAAAGGCGAAAACTGGGGAGTCGTATAATATTTAGCGTACATTTCCTTGGGCTCCAGTCCGGTGCGATGCATGTCTAGGAGATAAAAAGTGCTGTCTTCGACTCGCTCTAACCAATTTTGTCTTGACAGGAGGCACAGCTTCTTGACCAACACTTCAAAAATCTTTCTAGCGACTTCAGGGGCTACATCTTGATTTAAGGCGGAAAGAGGCAGTTCAAAAAATGCCTTCTCTATCCTATATCCCATTTCAGTGACCAAAAGTTCGAAAAAAGTTGGCGCAATTCGACTTGGTGGGGGCATTTGCTGGTGCTTCGATCGCTGCCGATGTCTCCTGTGAGGAACTCGTAGAATCCTGTAAAGCTATTCAAGAGTAGCTTCGTTTACACTTGGCAAGCGTCTACAGGTATCACCAAGGTGGTACGTGTAATTCAACAGAAATTAGCAAAAAAGCAAAACATCCCCCTCTGACGGTGAGCCAAAAGCGTCAAAAAATTGCTCATGGATTCTCTATCAAACAGCATAAAATGCAGTGGAAGATCCGAGTTCCATCTTTCACAAGAAAGCAGAAGTTAGTGGAAAACGCCCCTATTGATGGGTCAATCCCCTATTGATCCCCTACAGAAGCCCCTATTGATGGGTCAATCCAATAAGGAAACTACCACTAACTCACCACATTCAGCAGCTCATCATCCTGTAATAAAATCGTGAGGTTTGCTCCTCGTTGTACAATCACGTCAGTATTTCGATCACCATTGAAATCTCCAAAACCACATACTCTACAAATTTGTACGCGCGCACTTTTTTTACCTGTGAACGATTGGTCGAATAACTTTTATACTGAGAAAACTGCTCAAAAATATCTAATACCTACCAATGCTCCAACAAGTGGGCGTCAAGGTCAATAGAAGTAATAGAATCAAAGCGGTCATCGTGGCATCGCTGAGAAAACCCGGAAATTAGAAAAAAAGGAACCATTTTGCCAAGTAACTACGGCCAATACCGCCTCCTTCCAGAATTGAATTTGAAACTACAGACTCATGCTTTATCACAAAATAACAAAGAATTGAAAACAAATTCAACCTATAACGTGAACAAACCTAAATATTGACGCTAACGTAAGTTAGGAGAGGGGGGGCAGCCGGTAGCGCCTCTGATCCTTTCATGAACAAAGGCTCAAACTTAGTGGAGACTATCTACCGGTGACTCCGGTCGTTTGCGCTCTAACTCTAAGCCTGGTCAGGGGGAGGGAAATAGAGGCGCCACAGAGCCCCCCTCCCCTATCTTCACCAAATCACGGTAGCGCCAAGATATCTATTCGTTATTAAACATACATGAGCAACATGTAAACATAAACAACAGAATTCATCTCGCCGAGCCGAGGTAGAAAGGGTGATTCCTAACAGTTAGTAAGGGCCGAGAAGTGTTTCATTTGAGCAGTGCGTCTTTAAAGCGACTTCACAAATCGCTCTTTAATTTTTGGAAGTAATTTTATGTGATCATCAGCACATACGGCAACACATTTATCCAATTGTGTATTAAACTGCACCATCTGCAAAACAATTCTGCAATTTCCTGCAATAGACAAGGAACTTTTGAAGGGATATGCATCTAATTTACCTGATCCTCTGTATATTTATTAACATCTGGCCCAAATTTCTGGACTAGTTTGTCATAACACGTCATTGCACAGCGCGAAAGTTGGTCCTGAATAGATTCGGATTGAAGGAGATAAACAACTGCGATAAGTTGGCGTATAAATAACAAGCGAAATGGAGCATATGAGCCATGGTTTTCCCCGCATCAATCGTCGAAAAGGAAAAGACAATTTTGTTATGATAACTGCTGTTTAACGCCGCAGTACGCGTTCCGAATGTTATCACAAGAATGCTGAGTTGTGGGCAAAAGTCGTGCCCCAGGCGGGAGTCGAACCCGCACCTCACGCTTTCCGGGCGAGTGCGCTATCCGTTACGCCACCAGGGCCGCTTTACCCTCTCAGCTTGACGGCTTTTATGCCGTAGCCTATCAGCACTCACACGTTTATTTTGGTGAGCCGCTAACCAAAATAAACGTGTGAGTGCTATAGGCCATACGGCCATATAAAAGCCTGTCAAGTCTGACGAGGGTAAGAAAGCATCAAGCCCTGGTGGCGTAACGGAGTAGCGCGACTACGCCCGGAAAGCGTGGAGGGTGCGGTGGTTCGACTCGCTCACGGGCAAGATCTTCTGGGCCCACAACTCAGCATTCTCGTGAAAGGACAATATTTCATAAACACAGGCCTGAAGACAGAGCTAACGCACATGCCAGTGCCGTACGGCGAGGTACCATACACTTCTCTTATTCACCACTGATTACCAGCTATTTCACTGTTTGTGTTTTTTCGTCCAGCAAGCCGATCGCAAACGTCTGTCCTACGTGTCTGCAAATGTTGCGCGCTTCGGCATTATATGTGATAAATAACACATCAGTGCAGTTCAAACGAAATAGGTTCCACAGCGAGAGAAATGACTATGAGCTGCACATTCTATGTAACCATCCATTCGCTCCGGCAAAAATAGACATCTGATGAACGAGAAACTTTGCGGCCATAACCCAGTCAACAGTGAGAAATCACTCCGCTCATTTGTATATTACCTGGACCCAGTGGACGTTCAATTACAAACCAATAGTCCTAAGGATGAGCTTAGTGCTGAGACCATGACTACTTGCTACAGGCCGCCCATGAGTTGCTTGTGCATGACCGTGATGCCCACTTCCTGCATTAATGACAAAACAAAGCTACACACATCTGTAAAGTCTCGCAAGTTCCTTTCAAGAGTCCGTTTGAGTTCTTTTCATAGTGTTATTGCATTTCTCACGCAGGTTTCTCAACGATCTCACGTGTACTGTCTTTGTGCTCGCAGCATCTGGACTGATTACCCCTAAGATCAAAGCATAAAGGTTTATACTTGGTGTTTGATCAAACCTTACACATGCGCCACGCATCACGTCAGAATTTGTGCTTTCTTATTAAGACAGCTTCCATGATAAAAGTCTCATGCGACAGCTTTGTTATCCAATTATGATAACAGTAGTGATGATAAGTAATCTCCCAAAGAAGAAAACAGGCAAGAAGCGTCCTCAGAAACAACATAAACAAAATCGCTCCCTCACAGTCACACCTCCCTGCGGTCTCTGTGCAACCCCTAGCTCACAAATCTCTCTATCACATCTCGCAGTAGTTGATATCATCCAGTGCAAAAAAAGAATACAAAAGAAAACAACAAAAACGCAGAGGAAAAACTCTTGGAAGGAAAAAGGAATTTTATCAACACGGTGTGGTGGGCTGAAATTTGGATAACGGTATTAGCGTGACGTTTTGTGGCCGTCGGAGTTTCTGCCATCACGAAAATTGACGGCACTTCGTGCTTTCTCGCGTTTCACCGCTTCGGCGAAATGAGCTGAATTGAATGTATATACCTCCAATGAGTAAACTGTAATGAAGGGGAGCAGAATTATCCATGGGCATTAGCAATGCCCGCCGCCCCGACTAAGACAACAAACGAGCTGGCCTCTGATCGAAGGACATCTAGCAAGTAAAGGCGCGATCACTCGAGCAGGCGTCTAGAAGCATAGACGTATACAGGCGGCTGTCTCGCTTCTGCGCCGCTGTGCAGCACGAATAGAAGTGAGACAGATCTCTACTTGGCTCGCACACTTGCACAGGAAGACACCATGTATTACTCGAGCGCGCGAGGGGCTGTCTTTAAATACAACTCTTGTCTGAGGTCTACTGATGCTCGTGTTATAATGTTACTGCATTTTGGTACAGCTACGGGCAGCCAATAAGGCTGCGCTTGCATACTTTTCCATCAGCGCCTCCAACTAGCGTTTCGCAGGAAACTTTCACCAGCGGCGGCGACGAAGAGTGTGTAGACATGGACTTAGCGGACTCCAGCGTTCACCAGCTACAGCAGCGTTTTCGCGGGCAGTTTTAATCAAGTTCAAAAGATGCCCTCGAAAACCTGCTTAAGCTGCTGTGCTTTGGTGCTCCCGAATACCCTATACTTCCTCAGTCTCTTGTAAATGCTGGCAGCGTTCACGCGCAAGGGTATTGAACCAGCCTAGCCGGGAGGCGAACTAGCGGGCGGGCACCTGAATATCCTATCAACTGAACATTTGACTGTTGGACCACGAGTATTTCAGAAAATGCTCACTACTCGACATCACATCCAGTCCATTTAAGAGGGGACTGGAAAAGATTTTCCTCACCGCCGCACTGTCCTACTATGCATGTCCTCTAGGATCCTATCAACCTACAGCCCGCCGCTCACATCACTCACATGTCTCGTCCTTTCCTTGGAAGTCACTCACCAGCCTCCCAAGTACAGAGACTGTCCCACTCTCGCGACTCCACAGCGAGCGAGGAGCGAGCTACAGCTGCTGCAAGTTTCTAGTCTAACGCCCGCCCAGTTGGACCGCCCACTTGCTAAATGATGCCTACTCCGGTGAGTAATTTCTGCTCTCCTTTCATTATCTATTTATTCATTAGGAGACATATTAAAAACGACCGTAAAAGAACGAGGACCCAATTTTGTGGGCATACGCTCTACGCATACACTACACCAGAAGAACGGCGTATATGCTCAATTCGGAAGCCGCAGCCGTTTGAAACTTTCTTTTCCTCCAGAGTGTTTCTCCCCTACTTTGTTGTTTTTCGTATTCCTTCTATTATGCTTGGATGATACCTACAGCGGAGATGTGATAGAGGAGATTTGTGAGCCAGGGGTTGCACAGAGACCGCAGGGAGGTGTGACTGTCAGGGAGCGATTTTGTTTATGGTGTTCTTGAGGACTCTTCTTGCTTTTTTCTTCTTTGGGGAATTACTTATCAGCTACTGTTTCATAATTGAAAAGCAACTATCCATGACACTTTTATCGCGGGAGCTGTCTTTAAAAGGTCACCTACTTTTTCGGTTTTTCCTGTTTCAAACGCGCTATATATAACCCGCTCGGCGGTCCTTTTTTGGAAGAAGGACAAGGAAGCTTCGGAAAACCGGTTGAAGATAACTGGTATAAGTGGCAGAAAGTTAAGGAGGACAGGGAAGGGGAAGGGGGTCGTACTCGAAGTGGAAATCTGGTGACGGGTCATACTTTGCAGAAGTTCCCCCCCCCCCACCAACGGTAGGACGTGCCTCGTTCAAATCGTGTGAGTTCTACTAGCATGAACAGAGAAAGAATGGAAATTGTGAAAATAGTGAGGAAGAAACTAACTTCGCAGAACACAAAAACATTTGCTTCTGCATGTCACGTAAGTATGACCGATCCAATTCGTCGATCATTCCATCGACGGCGGTTTTCACTTTCCTCTGCGTAGCCTCCATCGTTGACGTTGAACCGGCCATTTTTACCCTGAACAGAAGCACCATTCATTCGGCAGCTCATCTAAGATCATTGAGAAATGAAAGAATAACACTGGATCACGAAAATGGATTAACGACTGGATGATTAATCGAAAACCATTTATTTTCGTAATCACAGTAACTGAAATATTGACAATGAGTCACCACTGCTTCATTTGCGTCAGCTGCTCATGAAGGGATACCTGCTGGAGACATAAAAAAGTGATTGAGCTAGGATAGTTCCCACGGATTAATTTCCTCTAAAGGACGAAGTTAGTCATGATGAAATAAAGGACCACAAAATCATATCTTCAGTAACGATAGACGAAGAGCCTTGGCTTCCCTGCGGACACTAAAACCACCCTGCCTGGTTTTGATATTTAAAACCCAGGAAATGAGTAAAAGCATAGGAGATCGAAACGAACGTGACGAAACCCAGGAAATCCGCTAGGAAAAGGGCAAAAACAAGATTGAGTTCGATGCTTGTCATTGGAGCGGGTGATTTGAGTTGGGTCAGGTTTGTCATGCCACCTGTCAAGCACCCCCACTGCCGGATTTCTTTGATTTTGGAGAAATAGCAAAAATTTTGGAGTTGGAAGGTCCCATTACGTTCTACATTGAGAAGAACTATTGCATAAGAATAGGCTAGATAGTCTCAAAAACGTTGTTGTCCTTACTTAGACCTTTTACCTGCTCCAATAAACATGCATTGCACCACGTCGCTTGTACTGTTTATATCTACCTTACTAATTCGAGGCGCTCTGTATTTAGTGGGGGGGGGAGTTAGCAACTCGGTTCTGCGCTTTTACCGTGGTTCATACCCCAGAAAGAGGGTCGGCGAGCGAGACGCACCAGACGTCGCTGGGAGTATGCTGCAAATGAGGAAGACAACAGTCTTGTTCTCGCACACGGTGATGAAGGGTGTTGGTCATGCGGTATGGTTCGGCCTCTCCGCTCAGCAGAGACGCTCTTCACCGCAAGGTTTCTGGAGAGGCGAGCGAGGACAAAACAACATGTCCGTGAAAACGTGCTAAGCGCCGTGGACAAACCTGACCCCCTCTGCCACACGGCTCAAAAGTATTCGCAGCGAACAAACCGTTGCAAATGAAGACGGTCTTTAATTGGAGGGGATTTATTAACATACTGTGAGAAATTTTTGCAGAGTGATAGTTATAGACTTAATGAAAAGCTGCGGCTCTAGGCCGTGGCACTTGTCTGCCCCATTACAAATCGGCAGTTTGTCATTAGAATCACCGCTGTCCTATAGATTGTCGAGGGGCCTACGGCAGCCACCTAACATTATCTCATTAGAAGGACGCAGAAGAAAAGACTGAAGACCCACTCTGGTAGTAGATGCGCAGGGATCGCAGACATCCTGTCAAATATGCACGAAACAGTACAAACTGCGCATATCACTTGAAATATAAAAAATATCCCAAGCTGGGCCAGAGAGTGCAGCGCCTCGGAGGTGTGATGTGCCCTGTCGGACATGCATAACAACTATTTACTCTGTTTCTTGAGTCACTGGAGAAGTACAGACATACCTGCGTAGCAAAATGGGACCTAACCTCTTCCGGGCAAGAATTGCCACGCTGTCCATGGGATCCTTCTTCTTTACAAGCTGCCTAGTTGATGGAGACAAAAAAAAAAAATGTCCCCTCGGTCTTCAAATGCGCGAAGCTCGTTTATAGTCCTCGATCGCATTAGAAATTGGTAAGCCTTCGCCTGCCATCAAAAGCGTTGGTAATGTTCCAGTGCAGACGAAGCTTATCTCTTACTCCAAAAGTCATTGTTAGTTCAAGTTAATTGTCCTACGCTCCGGCGGGACCTTCTTTGAATCGGAAAGCACTGAACTAGGACCGGAAAATTGCGCACTTGCAAACCTAGCGTTTGTTCCTATTCCAGCTGAAAGATTCGACGTAAAGAAAGCTCATAAATCTCTCATGGCAGCTAATCCGGTTCGATCGTGCGAACACAACCATCGCAAACGAGTAGGAGCTCACTAAGAAACTGCTGAGTTGTGGGCAAAGGTCGTGCCCAGGCGGGAGTCGAACCAGCTTCCCGGGCGAGTGCGCTATCCGTTACGCCACCAGGGCCGCTTTTACCCTCTCAGCTTAACGGCTTTTATGCCGTAGCCTATCAGCACTCACACGTTTAACTTGGTGAGCCGGTAATCGTTAGATATCGGCATGGAACCGCGAGGCCTAAGGCTTTGAAATTTAGATTATTGTAGTAGTATGATTCGTAGTAGTAGGACTGGTTCGGACTGATTATTGCGCGCCACTTTTGCAACATCATCTTTATACAAGGCCTCACCCACCGAGACACTCCGTAGTCCTGTTCATTTGGACACACGGGATGCCTCCAAGGTAATCTGCCGGCCCTCAGGCCAATGAGGCTGTCTCATCCACCTGGTACGAAGTTAGTGCTTGTTCGCTGCGGATGCTGGGAAGTGGCCAGGGGGTGGACTTGGCGCGGAGCCAGCCGGTTTTCCACTCACTGTGGTCGCTTGCCAGCTCCACCACTGGTGAACGCTTCGACCTGCGCCTAACCTAGCCCCACCCCGCTCGCTCGTACCTCCTGACACGTCCCAGCATTCGCATCAAACAAGACTGTAAATGCTGTGGACTGAAGCCTTTCACATGCTTGCAGCGTAGTGCTGTGCTATCTCGGAGCCTCATTCGGATCTAAACGCTAAAAAAACTTGAGAGGGACCAAAACTCAATCGCAAAAGAATCTGAAGGCTCCAGAGAGTCTTGAAGGTTTCTAAAGATTTGCAGGGATTTTGGGTATTTCTCAAAGCATTTCTGTGCTCACTAGATTGCCAGTAAGATGAACTGCTGAGTACAAGAATATTCGGCGAAAATTTGCAGAAACCTTTAGAATTTGTGTAGTATAACATACTGTATATTTTATGACATATATGTTTATTTTTTCTCATTAGTATTTTGCAATAAATTCTGTTCCATTCTTTGCAACTAATGGGAAAGGTTCTGCCAATTGCAGATGGTGGCTACAGTCGTGGCTGCAGGAGACAATTCCAAGCACGCTAGTTATCCAACATCGTTTCACTGGACATTCTGCATGTATCCGTTTTCTTCTTTTCTTTGACCGAGGTGGTTCAGTGGCAAGTGGCACGATTTCCCCCGCGCACGCTCCGTGGGTTAAATCCTGGATCAACCAGACTAACCAAGCCTTCTAGTACTGACAGTATATTGATTTAGCTCCAACCAAGATTGTTATGAAAACTTTATTCGGCTGACGTTTCGGCGTCGTCGCCGTCTTCAGAGCCTGGAAAGTCAGAAGACATTTTCGATACTACTCATCCAACACTATTTCAACCTACAGAAAAAGTTCAAAAGGGTCGTAAACTACTGTGATGACGTCACGAGAACAATAAGAACTAACCTTTAGGGAGTCGACCAATGAGGTCCACCTGTTACCCCGATCTACTGGTAAAGCGGCGATCCCCGTGGTCCGTTGCGGCGGGGTCGGGGGGTTGGTACAGTAATCAATAGTATGAGGGTAGACGGGTTTTGCAGTGCGGGTGGCCTGGAGTGACCTTTGGAGGAGTTTGATCTACACGATCGACCCTCGGGAGGTCCCTCAGGAAAGTGACCTGGAGGCCTACCTATTTAAGCCGCTTTACCAGTAGATCGGGGTGTAGGTAGTTCTTATTGTTCTCGTGACGTCATCACAGTAGTTTACGACCCCTTTTGAACTTTTTCTGTAGGTTGAAATAGTGTTGGATGAGTAGTATCGAAAATGTCTTCTGACTTTCCAGGCTCTGAAGACGGCGACGACGCCGAAACGTCAGCCGAATAAAGTTTTCATAACAATCTTGGTTGGAGCTAAATCAATCTACTGTCAGTACTGAGGACCATGCCAAGATTTATCGACAGTCGCACTTGGACAAGCCTTCTAGCACCCAGGGACGGTAAATGGTGCCAAATCTGTCTGCAAGTATAATAACACTGACATGTTCATCGGGTGGGTCCCGCAAGTCACTGTGTAGGCCCCATATATCGCGTTCGATGAGCCCCTAGCCCCCCCCGCTTCCGAATGGAAGCAGAATGCGTGACGCATCCCACAAAGGAAGCGATCCTCGGCAAAGCCTTTTTCCTTATCTTTTATCCGTTTTCTTCGCAGAATCTCCTGCAAATTCTGCAAACTATCTATAAAAGGCTTTTTGTAGCTGAAGTAGGCCCTGTGTGCTCACCCTATTTTCTGACGTCTAAGCAAACACACGGGAATCGCTTCTCACGAAATTCAGTCATTATTTGCCCACGCTTGCATAGCGTCACACGTCTCTATTGAAATGAGTCTCAATATTGGAAGGCGTGGTCTTTGGACAAGAGAGGAGGATCAATAAGGCGGCCACTGAGAGGGGCAGACGACTGTGGGCAGGGGGAGGGATTTCGACGCTGAATTGAGGCCGTCACATACACGATTTTACCTCGTTTGCCTTGCCTAATTACCTCAGTCGTCACAGCAGTATTGTTGTCCTTACTGGAAAAACATGGCTGATAAAGTTATTCTCACTGAGGTACTCGAGGCATCGAATCTCACTGAAACTTATGCAGAGTTCACTGCGCATACACTTATCAAAGAGTGAGTCGTCGCAACCGCTTTTTTTTCTGTTTTTTGCTGTTGGATTTTTTTTTTTCTTGTTGATATTGGGCTAAT